GTCATTACTGATAAACAAAAACAACCTGTCCCCTCCACCCCCCAAGATTGGCCACCGCCGCCACCACCAGCACAACTAGCTTCTGTGGGTGGTCTCCACTCGCCACCCTGCTCCGCTCACCACCCTGCCACCAGCGACATTGCCACTGGCTTCTGCAGGTGGTTGCCACTTGCCACCCTGGCACTGCCGCCAATGCTGCCACCCACAAACTGTGCCCCCCAGTCTCAGGAGGCACCAGTCACCCATGGCTCTAACCTAGGGGTTTTCAACCTTTTTAATAAGTGTACCCCTGGCGGACGGACACAGAGCTTTCAGTTGAAGTACGTGCTACAGCAGGCATGGCCAACCTGCAGTACAAATGCCCCAAGTGGTAAAGGCTGTATGGGGCACATGGCAGATCAGGGAGCACAGCACAGTACATGGCAGGCAGCACAGCAGATAGGGCAGGAAGAAGGCCAAACAGCAGGTCAAACAGAGAAAGGAGAACCCGGTGGCACTTACAAGAGTACAGAGCTCATTTCTGACACACCTGCTTAAAAGGTTGGCCCCCACCCTGCTAAGTGTTTGCAGGTTCAGGTAATTCATTTTAAAAAGTTAAGAAATGGAAAGAAAATTACATAAAACTGACAGAGTAAACTAGGATGCCCAGTACAGGTGTACAGACGTGATGGCTTTACTCCTCCTGGAAAGCAGAGTCTCTGTTGAGGAAAATTTAAAAAGTGCAATGCATTTAATATTGCCATTAATATCAGTATCATGTTTCACAAGGTAGCCATTCATCTATCTACTCCTAGTAAAACTTAGTCTTCATGAGATCAAGGGGAATATTTTTTTTTAAATGATGATCTCACAGCCCGGGAAATCTGCTGGCTGCAAAGTCCCTGTGAAATTACACCCCCACAACTATATATGTGTGTATGTATGTACCTGTATATATGTGTATGTGTATATATACACACATACGTATACATACATATACATACGTATATACACATACATATATACACACATCCTCCTCTTCTTCAAGAGGTTAGATAGGCATCTAGCTGGGGTCATCTAACCCCAGCCCTCTTTCCTGCCTACGCAGGGGGTCGGACTCGATGATCTATTGAGGTCCCTTCCGACCCTAACATCTATGAATCTATACGAATGTATCCATATCAATACATATCTATATAGATGTCTGTACACACATATACCTATCTAGATACACATCTAGCTGTACATAATATATGATATATATAATGTATGTTGCATATACAATGCACAGGTATACCCATACCCGGTACATTATCAGCTATATGCACATCAGGGAAACTGCACCTGCTGGCCACACAGTGACATGGCCCACGTACATGGTGACTATATAAATAGGGTACCATATTTCCAGCAGCAAAAAAGAAGACACCTCGGGGGGG